CAACTAACCACGTTGAATGTGTACATGTGAGTGTGGCTGCACGTACATAACAGTTAGCTTGCGTGTGTGTGTGTATGAGTATAATAGTGCGTTATGCAAACTGTAGCTGCTGCCTTTTGCTAAAGCACGTGCGCCATATACTCGTTATTAATCAACAAAGAGATGCATATGCCCCATGCAGCAGCAGCAGCAGGAGCACGAGCAGCAGGAGCAGCAGGAGCAGCAGGAGCACGAGCAGCAAAAATGACTGTGTGCAACGTGCTGCTGCTCCTGCTATGGTTATAAATGCAATGGAATGCGGCTTATTACGACAACAACAGCTGCAACAGCAACAACAACAGCAACAGCAGCAGGAGCAACTCAACATTTGCTGCAGCTGGACCAATGCCTGCCGCATTGTGTTGCAGATTGGCTTTAAGCTATGCAGATATTTGCATATTTACCAAGCAGCAACAAAATCTCATTATCTTGTTGACACGCCTCAAAAAAAGGGACGACGATTGTGCTCCAGCCCAGCCCCCAGCCCCCCGCCCAGATGTGTAACATGTGTTAAATGTGGCTGCAGCAGCAAGTGGCAGCAGCAAGTGGCAGCAACCGCAGGCAAACATAAATCATTCGCCATGTGCGCTGATTAACTTGGCCTTCCACTGATTCATCTAAAACAACTATGTGAAATGTGACACATTAGGCGGCCGAAAATTTATCATAATTTATAAACAGACGCAACGGCACCAGACAGCAACAGCCAAAGGACTAGCCGAAAGCCTTTCACTGTTAGCCATTAATAATACAGTCGAAACACAAATGACACTGGCTGCAAGCACGCAAGGACACTTGGCTGAACAGAAACTCAAGGTCTATGCGACGACTCTCTGCGAGTCGTAAAAGGATTCTAATGTGCTCAGAGCAACAGCAAGGTAATATGTAGTTAAGAACATTGAGACTGACTGCCTCATTTTATTTGCCACTCATGTATTTTCTTTAATTTATATTTAATTCTCTTGCTTCTCCACATTCGTTTCATTTATTTTATATATCATTTGTGAACAAAAGAAGATTAAAATTTGTGAGCATGGTAAGCATTCAAGCATTTGTAAATGTGAAAATCGCATTAGAAGGGAACGTGTGGGGGAGAGAGAAAGAAGGAAACAGTTAGGCAGAGGAAGCTAGAGAGGAAACTCAACAGGAGCTGGGGAGGGAAATCGTATTTAATTTGTATTTTTTTTTTTTTTTTTTTTTAATTGATTTCAATTGAGCGCCGGCTGGGTGGGGGCGGGTGGTACAAATGTTTTCATACTATATCGTATGTTAATATTTTTAGATAAATAAAATAAATAATTGTGATAGAAGTATAGTAAAATATTTCGGAGTATATACCGATTTCTAAGTTAGCAACTCTAATATAATCAACATAAAAAAATTTATAATTTTTTTAATTTTTTTTTATTTATTAGAAAGCACCAGAGCATCTTTTCGCTCTATTATCTGCCTTGAGATTGATTGATACAAAATCATCAGCTTGGAAATAAACCGAATTGACCGTTTGATTCTTTACGCTCTATTCTACCAAAAAAAATTATACGAACGTGCTCCGTAACAATACGATTGACATTCGTATAGTGAGAACTAGTAAGCGAGTAAATAGTTCACTCTTATATATATGCAATTGATTAGCGTAGAGAAGTCTCATACCAATACATACACAAAAGACACTTCGTTTCATTTAACTCAACCAAGAGTTCGGGGAACAAACGGAAATCGTTAAAGAAACGATGCTATCGGTTGCTCTCTGAGTCTTCTCTCAGTGAGTGACTAAACGGCATTTATTTGCATTAAAATCAAACTCTTAAGCGCTTTAAAACAGTTCAGCTCTGCCAATGGCTTTTGCCTATCAGGCTCAACTCATAAAGAGTTCAGCTCCACAGCTTTGACTTGCTGTCTAGCTGCTAGATCATATAAGATTAATCACTCAGTGCTCCCACGGGCATCTTTCAGCTCGTCTCATTTGTGACGAAATGGCAGAAGGCAGCGTAGCTTGACATTTGAGACGTTTCGCGCGAGGGTATTCTTTATATTTTTCCAGCATAATTTTAGCGAGAAGTTTTGAAATATAGAAAAGCCGCAGAGAATTGTACGCTGCAGTTGCTTTAAGGCGGACAGCTAGCTACTCGCTTGCACGGGGCAACGGAGCGTATAATAAATTGCATTTGCCTGACTCCAGTAGGCGGAAGGGTGAAAGAGAAAGGGGAGGGGAGAGAGAGTCAGCCAGGCAGCTCATATACACATGAGAGGCGACGTTGGCGTTTGTCAGTTGCATAAAAATGCCAACTCATACGAAGCAGGACATGCCAACTCAGCCAGGACATGCAGCGCCGCAACGGAAATGGCGCAGAAAGAAAGCGTCAGAGCCTGAGGCAGGCAAGGGGAAATTAGAAAATGCCACAGTGCGAAAATGAACAGTGGGAGGGCGCAGAGAGCGAGAGAGGGGGGAGAGCGACAGAGAGCGAGTGTGACAGACAGTTAGGTCGACTGGCTACAGCTTCAGCTTTGGCCAGGCTCAACACCGACAACAGCAGCAGCAACAACAAAAACAACAACAAAAGCAACTCGATTTTTTGGCAACAGTTTTGCCAGTTTTATTCCCTTTTATATTTTTTTTTGTCTTTTTTTTTTTTTTTTTTGGCCCAATCTCAGCGCCGAAACAAATAGCCAAATATGCCACACATTCGACTCCTTTTTTCGGGGCTTTTGCTTATGCAAATTCATGCGAAGGCGACGTTTCGGACTGTGGGCAAAGGACATCTCGTGTTGATTTAGTAACAGCAGCAGTCAACGTGCTTCGCATTCGCCAAAGGAATTGAATTACGCGCCTCGCTTTAATTTCATTTTGCCTATTTTTATACGGATTTTTCGCTCTTTTCGTTCGCAACTTTTATTTGTGTGTTTCCTTTGAGTTTTTAGTGAGCTGAAGCGCAGCAAAAAACAGAAAAAAAAAGTAAAGTATATATATAAATGGCAAATGAACGAGAGCAAAAAGTGACGTCAGCGACATTGGCAAAATGTTTAATTAAATCTGAGCGGGGCAATAGAAAGGAAATCGGAAACCGAATAAAGAATTTAATTAAACTTTATTTTTTTCCGTCATTTTTGTTTTTTCCGCAGAGGGAAATGAGGGATGCAGTGCACAGAAATGCGGAATGACAGCGCAACGTATTTTAATTAGTTTTTTCTTGCTTTTTGAAGTGTAAATGTATGTGTGTGAGTGAGTGTGTGCGTGTGTGTGTGTGTGCCAAAAACAAATCAAAAAGCGTGCGTCAACAATTGATGTTGGGTCTGTGTGCGTGCATGAGCAACGGCTGTCAAAAAACTTTCAAACAAAATGTCGCTCATATGTCAAGCACACGCACAAGCACACCACACACTCACACACACACACACATACCACTAAATACACATCACATCCCACACACACACACACGCTCACATTTACCACATAAGCAGCAGGCTGTACAACGACAACAACAACAACTACAGCCACATAATCTGGCATGTTTACTGCATTAACATGGGAGGCGCATAAGCAAATGAGTTTTCAAAAGTTAACTTTGATCATATAAGCTGGGCTTTGCTTCAGCCCAAAACGTGCAAAATTTTCACCTGTGCACATCACGATTTTCCTACACAAGAAAAGTTTATGATGTGTGCGTAAAGACCATAAATGTCAGCCTCCATACAGCTAGAAGTTTCTGTCTCTGCTTTTCCATTTGAAGGCTCTAAATTTCTGCTTGCTGTCAGAACTAATAAATTGATAGCTAACATAAGCATTCATCAGCTTCAAATCGAAACACATATATATTTAAAGTTTATGCTATTGCTGCCAAATGTATTGATAGATGGATAAAAGCGTTCAATAATTTCCTTGGCTACATATAAAACTGAGAAGTAAGAACTGGAAGTTCAGAAAATTCAAATTGGCATTGAATCTAAAATGCATAGTTAACTTGTATTAAGATATATGCATATACACATTTTTATATATATCTTTAGAATTTGCAGCGGAGTCTACTTAATAATTTAGTCTATTTACTATTTACTAAGACCTTTTATTTGCTTTCCTTGTCGACCTATCTATACTTATCATAACTTCTCTTCACACTCAAGTTAAATGTAAACTTGATAAAATTGAACCTTAAATATTGCTCACACGAAGAGCAACAGCACGAGGCATATCTAAAATTTCTCTAAATCCCTGCTGTCACTTGAAGGTCAATTCGCTAGAGGCGTGTTCATAATGCCGGATATATAGAGCACTCAAAATGTCAATCATTCATAGCAGCTGCCCACATTTTCCAGCAACTTATAATGTGCAGCATGTCAAAGAGGCAACAAGGTTAAATCTAATCTGCTGGGACTGCTTGCCGTTGCTTAAATTTCTATGCTAATATTTAATACATTTTGCATTATTATTTAAATTTATATGTTTAGAGAGAAAATATGACTGTTTTTTAGTGCTGTGAAATTTACATAATTTACATTGTTTATGCGCACATCAAAGTTTTTTTTTTTTTTTTTTTTTTTTGGCTGCTGTTAAATGTAACTCATAAAAAAGGCGTTCGCCGCCACGCCCATAGAATTACGCTATAAAATTGTAGCCAAACAGGCAGCTGTATCTATGTGTGTGTGTGTGTGTGTGTACTAAAACTGACCGCAAACTTGCATAACAATAAGTTTTTCATTGCCTGTGTACAAATGGCATTTTAATATGCGCTCAACTTCATGAAATATGCAAATGCAATATGAACAGGAAAACAAAAATGAAAATGAAAATGAAAATACATTTAATAATAATAGAGGAAACGGAAATGAAGTGCGGCGACTTCCAATGACTTTTAATGCTGCCTCAGCAGAAAATCTCTTGACCCTGGTCAAGACTTTTGCAATTTAATTAATTTCTCTGCATTCAGCATGAGGATTTGCATTTGCTAAATTGAGAAACTTACCCCGCCTCGACCGCCGGAGCCTTCACTGCCATCGTCATCGATATAAATCTCTTCCGTTTGCCGTCCTACGCTGGATGCGGGCGCTGCAATCGAAGCTTTCACAGTTTTCTGTAAATAAAGAAAACACATCAGAAAATTAAAATAAAAGAATTAAAATATGAAAATGAGAACGAGAAGGAAGAGAAGAAAAAGAAGAAAGAGACCAAAAGTGCTCACATCAAACATGACGCAAACTTTTTTAATATTCGCCGAAATTTCAAGTTTTTCTTTTTTTTTTCTTGCTTTATGCAAGCCTGCACTATTCTATATATATTTATGCATATATATATTCAAATATTTGCAATTCATTAATTAAAGCACGAGCAAGAGAAAACACACATTGAAATTTGTTGAAGTATATTTAATAAAATCCGCATTTTACACATTTTTAAATACATTTTTTTTTTTTTGTATTGAGACTCTTTGTGGCTCACCCAATTGCCTGACCACAAACAATTTGCATTTATTGAGAACAATGCGAATGCGACAACAATTGCTGCTGCAGCGACAACAATTGTTTAACAAATGCATTTTTAATGATGCCACTGTAAAAATCAATATAAAATTTTGGCCAGGATGCGAGGGCAAAAAAGACTATCAACTACAATACAATGTGCTTGACTAGCAGATACTCTATAGACAATGCTTAAGAATTGTAGAGGAAAAGTAATCAAACTATTTATGAACTTAAGCTGTTGAAAACTGTATTATTATTATAATTTTGATTATAAATTTAATTTTATAAAATTATTATACATTTTAGCAGTTTTTAAATTTATTAAAAAATATTTTACTTTTAACTCAAACAACTTAAATTATTACCGAAGCCCAGAGTTATTGATCATCTATGTAGAGGTATATATATTCCACAGTTCATGAACTCAAGCAGTTGAAAACTGTCTAATTAGTATTATAAATTTGAGCAGTTCTTTAACATATTTAAAACTATTTTAGTTTTAACTCAAACAACTTAAATTGTTAATGAAAAATATTTATGCTTGTTTTGTATCGAAGACGTCTAGAATTATTGATCATCTATATAGAGGTAATTTCACAGTTCACTCTCTAAACACATTTTATGCTCTCTATAAATTCTCTAGCAGAGCTACACTTTTCTAGCTATTTGTAGGGTATTAAATTTGCCCATTAACAGCTGCTGGCTGCATAATTAATGCGCCCACACAGCTGACTCGGCTATGTGGGACCTGTGCGCGGCCCTCATTAGGGTCACGACTTGAGCAAAGTTTACGAGCTTCAAAAAAAAAAAAAAAAAAAAAAAAAAAAAAAAAAAAAAAAAAAAAAAAAAAAAAAAGCATAAAAAACGCAGAAGAAGAGTGCATGAAATAAATGACTTTATACGCCATAAACCAATTTTTTATAATCCCCTGTGGGCAAGTTTAAACATTCAACGCGCTGCATTGCAGATTAGCCAAAAGTCAAAAGTTAGTTTAGCAGCCGCAACCACTGGAATAAACCAGCCAGACCAACCGCACACACACACACACACAGGCACACATTGGCCCCACCTGACATTGTCATTCATTCACGTTTTTGCCCATAGGTGTGAATAACCGCGCGCAAAAGAGGCAAAAAAACGAGCAGAAATAATAAAAAACCTCAGATAAACACTTCATCTTCAGGGCAGCAGCTACAGAACTTTGTGGTTGCGCCTTCAGTCGAGTTGCGTTTTGCCAAGTTTTACATTTGACTCGGAAGAGGCCAGGACAGGATGGAACCGGCAGGAACGAGACACGTATCCTTTGCATTATTACGAAGGAGCCTTCTTGCTCGACGGCGGCTCTTCTGAAGTTAGTCCTGGTGTGATGTGTGTGTGTGTGTGTGTGTGTGTGTCTGTGCGTGTGAGTGTGTGTGGTTAAAAGTTGAATGCCTGGCAAAATGCATTTACCATGTCTTTGGCCCCATAACGAAGAGCCGTGTGCATTTACTCATTTATTTATTATTGTGTTGCATTTATGCAGAGGACTTTGGAGTTTGGTCCTTCATTACGAACATGCATGATGAAACAACGGATCAACGCAAAAGTTGTGTAAAGTCTTTGACTGAATACCTGCAGGTGAGTTGCTAAACACTTGCCTAAGTATGAGACAAACGCACACACATTCATAATTGAAGAGCATAGGGAAGCGACAGTTGAGAGAAGTGAAGTGTGAAATGGCATCAAGTGATATAAGAGAATAGGTAACTTTAACTTGAATAAGTCTGAATTCATTTTAGTACAATTAAAAACAGTTGTGAGAAATGAGAGACCAAAACGAAAAGCAATTTGAGAAGCAATGCACAAAGCGGAGTGGAAAACAACCAGAAAAGCTATTAGGAAAACAACGAAAGAGCAAATTGTTAAATTAAGTTTGAGGCGAACAAATTGCGAGAGGTGTCAAAACAACAGCAAATCGAAAATAGAAGAGACAAGATTAACGAATGCCGCAGATAAAGATGGTAATAAATGAAAATGGAAAACAGAAAGCTTAAATGGAAAACTGTAGAATATTACGAGAGCAAGAATTTAACATTAAAAATCATCAGCGTAGGATAATCATTTCCAAAAACTCGACGTATTTATTATACGTCAAGCTCTTTTCCCATTTCGCTGACAAATAATAATAATCTCTGTAATAGAGCACAAAAGAGCTGAAGAAAAATGAACAAACAACTTTTAACTTTGTTGTTCTAATTTTCAGCATTGCTGAGCAACAGCAGCAGAAAAAAAAGCAACAAAAAAATAGCAGAAGCTGAGCGAAAAGTTTGTCAAATTTGAAACGTTTATGCAGTGTGGCCCAAACAATCTTTTGGCCAAAAGGGATTCCGCTGGAAGTGTTGCCCAACATATTTCGCATATTTTTCATTTATTTTCTGCTATATGAATTTTCCACTGGCAACAATTTGTCAGCCAGAGGGTGGAGGATGGGGCGGAGGATGAGGGTGGCTGGCGGCGACTCCTGAAATTGAAATGCAATTGTGCGGGGCAGCCATATAAAGCGATGCAAAATGTTGTTTGGCACTTTTTGACAAATATAAATATGCGAGCAAGATAAAAAAAAGCGAAAGCACCGTTTTTTGCCATTTTAGTAAGGGACTAAAAAGGGAGCAGAAGGTAGAGCCAGCCAGGCGATAAATCAATATAAATATTGACAGTTTTACAGTTACCTCACATGTGCCCGAAGCGAGCGTAGCTGTGCGTGAGTGTGTGTGTGTGTGTGAATAAATATATAAATATAAACTCTTTGTTTACTTGCCAAGAATAATATTAATTTGCTCGCGAAACATACAAAAAATTCCACTATTTACTAACAAATATAAATATTTGAATGCATTGCATATTTTTGGCGATATTTCAACAATTTTTTTCAATTCAACAAAAAATAGTCAAAGCATTTAAGACTTTAAGTTATAACGCATCAGCTGGCAGCAAAGCCGTAAGATACACGTTTTTCGAGCTGTGATTTCGGCCTCAATGCGCAGAAAATAGGTCAGGCGCAGCCAGCTTAATAAGCACATAAGCCATGTTGGCGTTGCCAGATAGCCTTAAGCTGCAATTTAAATTAAATAAATATAATAAACTTTACAGCGGATCAGGCTGCATTAAGGCATTACGGCCAGGTAGGAAATAAAAATATATTTCTAGCAGAATTTAAGTCAGCCGGCAAAGCAATTTATATTTGGGATATATAGTGTATATATATTTATAATATTTTGTATATTTATTTTTGACACTATAAAARCGCATCAACTTAATTTAGGCTGTTATGCTCAGAGGGCTGTTCTGTATTTAAATATATTGTATAGCTTTAGAGTCATAAATTGATTCTAACTTAACAATACTATAAATCATATAAATTCAACACTGAATAAAAAATAGTAAAAATAAATATATTACATAGTCATATATTTATTTTTACTATTTTTTATTAAGTTTTAAGTTTTATTATTTCGTAGCCCACTTTAACAATATTAAACGTTGCCAGTTTGCGAAAAAAGTCGTTTTATTTTAATTACTTTATCTTGATTATAATTGTTAAATGTGTTCATTTAATTATGGCCACAGTTTTAATTAATTAATAGCTCATTCGCTCTGCTTATCCGCTTTGCAGGCATTTCAATTTCACATGAATTGGTTTCTGTCAACCGCAAATAAAAGCAGATTAGATAAATGCCATTAAAATTGCATGCAAAATGTCAAATAAAATAAATTGAATAAAGAGTTGAAAAAACGAACAATAATTTTTATTTAAGTTTTTTTTTTTTTCATTTTCTTTTTTGGTATAAATTCAAATAAAATAAACTCTAGCTAATAGAATTTTTTAGCAGCTGCTGTGCATTTTTCGATTGTCAGTTGCATTCGTTAAGCTGCTTGAAATGAGCAACAATGGCAACAGGAGAGTGGGAGAGGGAGAGAGAGAGGGAGACGGAGGTGGGTGGGTACATATCAGCTGTCCGTTGTGCAATTGGATTGAAAGCTAAGAGTGCTATTAAAGCTGTCCCTGCCAGATAGACAGCCAGTCAGGGCGACAGCCAAGCAGGCAGCCAGGCCGGCAGGCAACCGGCTGTCAGTGTGCGGCGCCGCAAAGTAGGCAATGAAATGGAATCGATTGCAAATGCAATTTGCTGCACGTATACGCAGCGTGAGCAGCTCAGAGCTCACAGTCAAAAATAGACGAAAAAAAAAGAAAGAAAGCCAAAAGCCCATGGCACATCAGCCTCAAGGCTCGCACACAATGTGGCAGGTCAGCAACAGCAACAACAACCCGCAACCAGCAGAGAGCCATGTGGCAGCTACTTGTCTGGGCTGTCTTGTTATGCTGAAGCGCAGTCAAGCAACTGCCATATGCCAGGAATGCCAGAATATACATAAATAATGTATAAATATGTCGACACTCTGCGAAACTCGTTATACATTTTCATTAGGGCGTATGTCTGACTGCCACGCCCACACACTACTATGCCCTCGCCTGCTTAGCCAAGCGTGCGCCTCGGCCATTAAGGTGTCAGGCCTGTGCGTGCGTGTGCGTAAGTCTGTATGTGCGTAAGTCTGTATGTTAAGGGTAACTGTT